AATTATAAGGGGTGCACCATGACAATAACCCCACCTTGTGTAAGACAGGCCAGTGCCGATTTAGCCCTGAGAGCTTCAGAGCATCACAACTCTGAAGGCCGCCAGAAAGGAACAAAGGCAGAAAGAAATATTAATAAAACCCGAGCGAGAAGGGAAGGGAGCCATAAGGAGAGGCAGCTAAATAGGAAAAGGAGGGAATGAACAGGATGAATTACTTGCTAAAACACTTGTCAAGCACTTACTATATGCCACGTATATCATTTCACCTTCCCAGTGCTGCCATTGAAAATACTTATTATTGCCATTTCCAGTGTGAAGTCTTAGAATCAGAGAAATTAAGCTATTTGCCCAGAATCACACAGCTAGTAACAGGCAGAGGCAAGGTCTGAACTTGGAATCTGACTCCAAACCCCAAGAACCCAGACCACACTTACCGAGTTGTATCCCACCGAATTAACTGCCCTCCTCTAATAAAAAAAAAAAAACACAACAAAACAAACAAACAAAAAAAACATGAAAACGCGGTCAAAGGCAAATTTGGAAAATGGTAGGTTAAATGGACTTCTTTACTGAAAGACTTCTCAGAGCGTTTACACTGCTAATCGGCACTGTTCATCTCCAAGAGGTGACGAGTACATGTGCGTCCCACATGTATTTGACCAAGGGACTGTTTTCTTAGGGAAGCATCTTGCCAGATGAGACTCCACACTGAGAAGCACTAACCTCATATGTGCTCCCAAGTTTGTAGGGGCCAAGTGAGGAAGATGCTGACAGAGCAAAGTGGCAGAAACAACCGAAAACTCTGGAATAGCTCAGGGGCTCTAGAGCCTCAGCCAAACTCCTGCAGAGAGGTCCATCTAAGGGCCTCCATTTCTCCCGCCCATGCAACACAGGAAACCCCTGTGCATTTGCCCATGGCTCTCTCAAACTGTGCAGCCTGCCCAACTCTCTCTGCGGGATGTCTTTCTTTGTGGACTTCACAAGGGAAATTTCTCACTTCAGTTAATAATCATTGCCCTCAATTCTGAACTACTGTCCGTCGCTTCTGTGAGGAGATTTGGCATTAAATCATTACAAGAAAAAAGAACATACTACTTTACTCTAATCTCAGAAAGAATTCTTGGAAAAGCCTGAAATTGATGGCTATTATGCTCCACTGATGGAAGCATTAATGATTCGCTTAAAGATAAGTCAAAGACATTCTGAGTCTCATCATTGGAGAGCACCAGATGAGACACTTTTCTTCTCACTGCCTTGCAGTCAATTGCACGATGGTAAGTGCTCGCTCCATGAAGCCCTGTTGCTCAAAGTTCAGTAAATATCTCAGCAGAGAAAGCAATTACAGATAAGTAACTATTTTTTAATGCTTTGAGTCTCCTAACTATTTGCTACACCAACACCTAAAACAATCAAAAGCTCTATGGGCATTTCAGAATTCAACCTGTAGAGATGAATGCATAAGTCTGTGACAGCCTGAACCCAAGGCTCCAAGGCAATGAAAGATGCCATGGAGAAGTTGCCTAAGAGTCATTCCTATAGGAATGACATCATTTAGCAAATGTGTCTTGGGTTCCTAATCATAGCTCTTGAGTCATCAAACTAAATCTTCGGAGGTATTGCTGTCATCATGTCACTACTCCCCTACTCAAAGACTTTCTATGGCTCCCCATCACCAAGCAAACAAAGTTCATACTTGGTACATTGGTAAGAAATGTCTCTCTCAACCTGCTTCAAACTCACCTTTCTGATTATACTATATCAGAATCGCCCACATTGGGCCTTCCTTCCCATCCTCTCCCTCTACATCCTGAGCCCACTCCATACCTACCTCCATCACGAAGCCCCTTCCATCCCTCTTCTAGCCCATCTCTGTCATGTGAAGCACAAAAACTGCTTTTCAACAAGTTCTGTTTCTACAAACTGAAAGCCCCCCCCCCAATCACAAACCACCTTAGCTGTGTTTGATTCTTTTTTCAGCTTAGGAGGGGAAATGACTTCTCTCTTTGGCTGACAACTTCCACTGGAGTTCAGTAATTCTCCTATTTTCTAGAAGATGAAATGCTCTACATCGCCCATGCCTGTGGTTTATATTTCACCAAGTGGTGTCAGCACTGATATAGTAACCTCCCATTTTTATTGAGCGGCACACAATGTAATTGATGACATCTGCTGGGGCTGAGATTTTAAGTAAAGGCTATTCTCAGCTCTGCCTGCTCTCCCTGTGGCTCTATATATAAATAGCCAACAGCAGCTACACCTGAGGTACAAAGTGGGACCACTCAGCTAAGGTCCTCAATTATATTCCATAAAGTCATAAGGTTTTCTGGGAGGATTTATCTGAACCAACCCAGTTTTCAAGCCTGCAGAGACAGAAAAGAGGGAACAGGGCAGGCCTCTGCTGGATATAGTTGCCATACATTCCCAGAACAGAAAAATCCTCCTTTCAACTTTTAACCCAAGCAGGTTTAAATACCACATTCTTTTTGGTGCTCAAAGTTTCTGTGTTATTCCCCACACCAAGGCAAGTTACATTTTATCCCCAAGTGGCAAATGATGCCTATCTTCATGCATTCACTTCTCTAATGTGCATTAGTAAAAGTTAAAATGTCTTCCCTTGGAAAAGTGTATTTGTTTGCAAGCCTCGGGGAAGAGTAAAGATCACAGTTACTTAGGCAACATTTGATCCTTACAGCACAAGAACCTATGTCTAGTTCTTGGCCAAAAAGAATCAGTTCACTGCAATTGTCCCAAGAGTTACCTTTGCAAGCAAAAGCCTGATACGGATGTTTGCAGGAGGACTTGTTTATCAGCACAATTTGTTGCTTTGTATCTGAGTGTTACTCATAAATAAAGTTTCATCCTTTTAAAAGAAAGTTTTAAAAATTTGGCTCACTTTTGATAGAAAATTTCTGAACTAAATTATGAATGCTTTCATATGCTTTCAGGTGAATCTGTGTAATTATTCAATCATTGGTAGAACTGCAAAGGATTAAGGTTCTGAGAGGCTGCTAAGATGTGTATATTCCAGGCAGAGCTTCCAAAGGAAAGTTTTCGTGGACCCCCTGCCCTCTACACACACACACACACACACAGTCCCCCACATATAGAGTCACATGCTTCCCTGGACACACCTGTATCACAGCCATTAACAGCTCCTTCTGCAAACGTTGACTAATTACCCTCCCTACTCACAGCTCCGAGCTATTTTAGGGTGGGCACCACAGCTTTTTTGCTCTATCCCTAGTACCTGGCTTGGTGCTTGTGCACACAGTGGATATAGCTTAATGAACATTTGAGAATGCATGCATGACTGAACAAAATGTTGCACTACTTTGAGACATGAGTTAAATGTATACATGGAAATTTTAATACCAATTTTGCTTATAAGAAAACCAGATTCCAAAGGCAGTGACCCATTAATGTGACAAAGCAGAGGGCAGAAAGTGGCACCCCTTCCACCCCATTACATATCTACGTCTGCCTTGGTTTCTTTGTATCAAGTTGACCATGAAGGAGAAAACCATCCGGTGGTGAGACATGGCCACTTGCTGCCTTCCAGCTGCTCACATGGGCCGGCAGGTGCATGCTACTGGGGCGGGGTCTGCAGAGGGTGGGGGCGTGCTGGAATGCTGGTGGCCCACATGCTGCCACCTATTTCCGGCCATGCTGCTTGCATGATCCTGATTGGGTAATTTTTAAATCCCACTGTTTTTGATTGGATATTAAAGCTTGTTGTTGACTAGATGTCAAAGCTTGATGTTGATTGGATGTTAAAGCTTGTAGTTGATTGGACGCTTTTTGAGCCCTACCAAGGGTATAAAAGCAGGAAGAGAAGAAGGAAGGGGGGTGGTCAGAAGATCAGAAGACACGAAGAGAGCTGTGACACTTGCTGGGTTGAGCCTGCCGGAAGAATAAACACTGTTTTCCTACTTTTCGTGTGCCGCTCAGTTCTTTCCCTGGTCAAGAGCTGTAACACTAGCTGTATACCTTGCTGCAACAACCATAATGATCACATCCAATACTTAAGCTGCTTCTCAGAAGTGTGAACCTTCTGAGATGTGGTAAAGTCAGTGGTACCCAACCACCTTTTTGGCACCAGGGACTGGTTTCAGGGAAGACAGTTTTTCCACGGACCAGGGTGGGTAGGAGTTTCCACACACGAGGGTGTGACAGAGCTCTGCAGTCTGGTCCCTAACAGGCCACAGACAAGGGGTTGGGGACTGCAATGGTCGGTACTATTGTTCCACTGAGTTTTAGCATTAATTGCATGTACATACTTGAAGTACAATCTACCATCATTTTCAGCATCAGGGTCTACGCCAACAGCAGCCACACATAGAACAAAGGGGAAAAGGATGTGATTCACAGCAGGTATTCATTGTGTCATAAATAATTCACAGGAGGACACTGCTAGTGATTTACAACAGCTATCATGAGACAGTTCCTATGCGCTTGCAGGAGGGGGTGGGAAAAGCCCTCTGAGGACCAGGCTTGAACCCAACGTGGTCAGTGAGTGGACTCTGAAACAAGATTCTATTTAGAAACCATGAAGAAGTTATTTAACAAATGAAATATCAGTGGCCTTGAAAGTCTCCCAGAATTAACTACTTTTTAGAAAGAAAGTTTCATTTGTATAGCTCCTGTGAATTGAGGATGTCTCCAGGCACAGTCTGTTCCAAGAATGAAACCATGGGATTTGGCTCCACAATTCACCAGGTTAACCTAATAACTATTTTACTGTTTTCCTTAACAAAACCAATCAGTGATAATACTGGTCAATTCAGTTTTTAAAAATTGTTTAAATCTGCCCTACACATAACCTCAGACAAATAACCAACTTGATAAAATAATTTCTTTCACCCCATTCAATTCAGTCCCCAAAGTCAATAAAATCAGACAGCTAGATGGCCTTTGTGAGAACATTAACTCAGCATGCAGGAAGGGAAAAATGAGACAGCATTTCCCAGGGACTACACAGCAAGAAATATCACATCCATTACCTTGGTCAAAGGGCTTGTTGGGGTTCCAGTTTCTGAAGTAATCATCCTATATAAGGAAAAAACAGAAAACAAAGGTCAGATTTTAGGAAGCTTCTCACATAACTGCATAAAAACTTGCCTTCCTTCCCACCTCCCAAAACACAAAGGAAAACACTAACAGCTTAAAAATGTTTCCCAAAACAGGCATTAACATGCAATATAAAAATATCAATTTGCTTTTCAAATTCCTGTCTTTCAAACTGTACATATTAAACACCGGGAATAATAAAAAACATTTCAGCCAAATATGGAAACAGCATTGCTCTTCTTGGTTTGACATATAAGCCCAGACACCTTCTGAGTGCAAGGTGTATTTGCTATCAATTATACTGTAGGTGATGCCTTGCTGCCCTCACTTATGATTAAGTCTCTGTGTTTGTAACAGCTGATAATTCAACTGTCAACATTTCTTTTACATGGAAACATGTATCTTGTGGTGCACAGTTCCAGCTTTTCAGCACTCACAAAAATCTAAAAACAGAGGGCCATTCAAATGTAAGAATTAACCATGGGCATACATTTAGCTTAACACCATTTTCTCCAGCTATGGAAAGATGAAAAAAAAAAAGACTGGCCAATCTGGTGTCTTCATAACCATGTCTTTCCTGCACACAGGCTGCATCAGTTTATGCTCTGAGGCTAGACACTTCATCACTCTGATTGCGAGGGTCTCGGTCACTCAATTCTTCATAGTTCCATTAACCTCTTCCTCACTCCTAATAAGCCTTTTTTTCCAAAGAACTAATTTTTATTCTATTTGTTCTCCCCCTGCAATCCTGGACCCTTTTTTCCTCTGGATCGCCCACTCTGTCAGCAAAACGCAACACTTTGCAAGTTGCAGAGGTGTCACCCATGCACATCATACCCACACCAGCTTTATTTAGGGAATTTGCCCCTTTTTAGTTAATACCCAATTTATTCTCTGCATGTGTTTTTGGCAGGTACTCTTCATGCTGCAGACAGTTTCAGAAAGCTGTCCAAAATGAGACCTCAATTTCTCTTCTGGAAAAGTTAATTTACATCAAAGTGCACAATTAGTTTAAATTATTGTCCATGCTGTCTCCTGATGCAGTTTATCTCTGACACAATCTCCTGTGAATTTTCTCAGCCTCTGTGTCATTCAATTACCTGGCTTTATTAGATCCTGGTTGAGTTCACCTAAGCCCTTAAATAGATTTTAGGAAGCTGGATTTATAGTAAAATCAGAACATATTGTTTCTTGGCCAGTGATTCCATTTTCCAAAGCATGAATAAACATGAACAGGTTCCTCTGGATCCTCAAGATTCGGCATTAATTGTTAACTCCAAGGAATTGGCCCACTTTGCTCCGACTTTAATTTTATGGGATAATTGGCCTTCTCACCCATCTGGTTAAGAAGCCTTTGAGATCTACACCATGCAATATCACTGAGAGAGTTTAAAACAATCTCTATGCAATCTCTCTCTCCATTCATTATTTTAAATACAATCCCAATCTTTTGGAATCGTGCTGTCTGAAACTCAGCAGCCAGTATTACATGATTTTAGGTTAAGGGCTAGAAAGTAGATAGGAAATTTAGCACTCAATGTCTTGGTTTGATGACCAATACTCTTAGCCTTAGACAACGATGTTACCAACAGATTCTGATATTCTCAAGAGCAACAGAAGAGATAACCCAAGATGAACTCATTCTCACCAATGGAGAAAAAAAGTAACAAACCATTCATCTTTCCAATTGTAATTCATCAATGCCTTCTCCACATACAGAGGATGGCATCATATCTAATGGCAGTGTGGAATCTTGTGAAATATTTTCTACTTGAACATGCTGTTCTAATACATGGAAGACCTTAGAAGCTTAGGACACATGTACCAAATGGAAGGGCTGGAGTCAAAGACAAGTTCCTTTAATTCCACATGTCACATTCTCTTTGATGTCAAGGAAAGGTTTAAGTCCCAAGAACTGAATATTCCTTAATGATTTCAATATACTTTATAACTTGGATGGAATTTGAAGCATGCTTCTGGACCTTGTCACTTTTTCCAAGTTAACTATAATTGCCATTTTTACATATTTCTTGGGGAAAATCATAGTTTTAAATATAAGGCCTCCAAAAGTAGATATCTGCATTAGAAAGAATATTTAAAACCCATTGCAAATGTAATAATACTGCCTAATTGCTGACAGAATGTGCAAGTACACTTTGAGTGAAAACTCATTATGCAAAATGAGTCCTTCAAACAACCCTTGCCCAGCAAGGCCAAGCAAAGAAAGATTATTATACTCTGCATCTGACTGCTTTTGCCCTGCTTTAGCAAAGTGGCCTGCCAAAGCAAAAACCAATGAGCCAGCACTGATAAAATCTTGGGCATCACTTCTTCGTCTATATCTAAGAAAACCTCATATCAGGGTAACATCATGAATACATGTAAAGTATTCTGGGCACCATAGCCCACTTGGGGATGGTCAGTGAACACAGGGGAGAGGGTTTCTTAGCAGCCACTGCTAGGTTGAGGTCAGAGTACAACATGCTGGTGCACATGTGATCACTCTTCTACACTGTGCTAGCTAGGTCCCAGGTGAATCCTCCCCACGTGGTAAGTCCAAGCAGGCCGGGGCTGCATCAGTTAAGTCAGTCTGTGTCTGGGGGAATTTCTGGTGAAGCAGTGTCCAAACCCATGTGGAGAAGAGCCAAAACTAAAATAATATCTCTTCTACAGCTTCGCCTCCTGAAAATGTGTTTATCCCTAGTTCCCCTTAACAATTGTGATGCTCCAAGGACATAAGGACAACCGTCTGTGGTCCTGAACACAATACCAGGGCTGGTGATTTCTCCAGGGCCTTGTTTTCTACCAAAATAAAACCATGTAGTGTATATTTTACATTGTCTTAAAACAGACCCATGAATCACTGTGCTGTCCATAGTTCTATCACTTCCCACCCTGGGAAGTAGTGTGGCCACCCCCATACCACCTCACTGCTGTGCGGACCCAGAGTCCAGTCCACATACTGACAAGGTATACAAAGCATCGTGCCTCAATAGCCCTAACCCTCTGACCTTCCTCCTGGCTAAATAAAGTTGTAGTCTGTTAAGATTCTAACTGTGGAAAAAGAAACACTGGATAAGGTCAAACTTGTTAGGCAAGGCATATCTGTCTGAGCTGGCCTCTTGAGTGGTAATTTTATCATCTAATTATGAAGCTTTTCAAAGAGACTTGCAAGAACTTTAGTAGTTAATATTTAAAATATAAACCTAAATAGAAAGCTGCGTATCTAAATATAGTCATTTATTAAGTTCAATAGCTCCCATTAATGCATTATACAGGTTGAAGAATCAAGGCTGGCAGTGTTACTACACATGTATGTTTTATGGGCTACGCTGCAGAATAAAACTATGTCAGGCCTCTACTGGGCAGGGCAGAGAACAGCCTTGCTCTAAATTCTAACCAGCCCGTATGAGGAAAGGTGGATTCCATTCCACTGTAGCATTTTGTAAATGAAAATTGTCCTACTCTTTTTTAGAGAATATTAAAATCTGGAAGGACCTACAAATTTGAACACATGATCAAACTTGAGTATACTGACTTATGTCTAAAATCATCAAGTATCCCAGGGCAGCAGGAAATATAAAAAGTTAGCATAAAGATCATAGTAAAAAATTGATAAATCATCACAGGTATAGGATGGGGAAGAAGAGGGTGATGCCGGTCACAGGAGGAATCAGAAACTAGTACTAACTATGGCTGCAGTTGTTTTTCTGTCCTCTGCAGCTAATCAACATAGACAAAACCATATTTCTCCACTTAATAATTCAAGATCTCACTAACACAGTACTGGATCCTGTGAAATTACTGGCACCCTGTGGCTGGTACAAAGTAATTTAACTCTGGGTTGTCAACTACTTTAAAGATAGTCTGTTCTGATAAGCATTCATGGAAAAGGAAATCTGTTTTTATATATACACATATATCACATATTAAATATAAAAAATATTGGTAAACATTAGTAATATACATGATATTATATTATATATATGCCAAGAACATTACACCCTAATGCATCTTCCAATGAAATCTTTAAATCCTCCTAACATGAAATGAAGCCAAAATATTCTTGCTGTAATTTGAGTGATTAAATCTCTTCATCATGGTTGATCATAACCAGCTGGTTCCAGCCCACTTTGAATAAGATCCTGAATTTTCTTTCACTGTGCCACAAGCCCCAAAATAGCTGATCCAATTTAGCTTAAATATTCCCCAGGGATTTCCCTTGTAAGAGGTGCCTTTTTTGGCTCTAAGGAATGTTAAAGCCAATCCTAACAAAAAAAATGGGTGGCAGGATCCAATGGAAACCACCACGAAAACTGATTTGGAAACCCAACTGCTTTGGCATCCCATTACAAAGATGATGATGTCATTTATTATAGGCCATGGCTTCAGATGCTAGAGGATCAAAGACATTTAGTTCACATGAAACAGATCATTTCTCCCTCATACATATTTTAGCTAAGCTGTTTGAACCTTGCAGTTTCATTTGAAGATTACCTGAGATAATACAAATTACCAACCTAGAAAATAAATGGGAACCTCATTTGTCTTGACCAGGAGTGAGCAACAGAGACATGAACAGAAGGGGACAAGGCGAGAGGAGGGCAGGCAGTGACCGTGGGGTGCCTGTGGGCCCGCTGCAGAGAAAGAGAAGGGAGAAGCACTTCTCTGCAAGGTCAAGACGAATAAGGCCAGGTTTGTAGACCCCAGATGGAGGCACACCCCACATTACCAAACCCAAAACCTTTAGAAAGAGGTCAATAAAAGGACCACAGCCAAGCAGCTCTCAAGGGGATTCAGTGCAAACCAGTTCAGCTCATTTTCACACTACTTGACTGGGGAGATTAGGAAAAAGTGCTGGTTAGTCACTGAGAGGTGTGTCCCTTAACATGGTAACAGAAGTCACCAGAAAAGTGAGATTTCCAATGTTAGGTAAGTGCATCAGCTATATAATGTGATACCTGCCTGTAATTTTAATTTGTGTGCAATGAAAATCATTGCTAATCAAGCTATTTTTAGGTACAAAACACTCCATTTATTGATAAAGGAGCTGGGTTTGCATATAATTACCACATCTCAGAGCTGTTTCCATTGACATCTCTGGACAAACAATGTGCTGTCTGTCTCCTGTCAACCAGGCCTACTCCTCCCCATCCTTGATAAGGAGCTGCAGTGAGAATTCTTCTGAATGGGGAAGCCCAGCTTGGGCAGTGACTTGAGACCTCCCAGCCTTCCACCCACAGACAGGACTTAGGAGAACTCTGTACACCAGGGACTGGGAGCTATGTGCATTAATGCATTTACATGTGCCCATATCACCCACACAAACCTGGGCCTAGCCTACTTCTGAGCAGCGATGGGTCTTACTCACTTGAATATTCCCCTAAGATGTCACTCAAAAGCACACAATACATCATTGCTAAATGACATCAAATGTAAGTAAGCCATTCCACCTTTATTAAAATCTCTGTATCCCTGTGAAATTCCCATAACTGTTACTGGTGTACAGGTGGGTGTATGTACAGGTGGGTGTATGTTTATACACACGCTCTAAATCATTTTCACCCTGAATAGACCAAATCTTTGATAAATTGGTCTGACATTTGGTTTAAAGTCCTTCAGGTCTAAAACAAAATGATTCAGAAAATAACAATGTCAGTTGCTCTGCTCTTTCAATAAATAACCCACCAGTAAAACACAGATAATAACTGACAATCATACTTGTACTGTAACTAATGAGAAAAGATAAAGCAGCAAATGGACTGTTTATATGTATTTGATAAATTGCATCCCTTGGATATACCAATGAAAAATAAATGTGAGCGGTACTGGTTCACTGAACTAAAACAAATATTTACCGCTGAGATTTAAGATTTAGAGTGAAATTTACATCTTATTTGGCAACTATTTTGATGCTATGTCTACACACAGTTGAAAAGTCAAAAACCTACCTCAACTTCCTGAGTACGAAAGCATTATAAATGAGAAAAAATAAAAGAATCACATCAAACAATAGGAAGGAATGTACACATTTTTGATTAATTGCATCAAAATTTCAAATTATCATCACATTAGAAAGGTTAGCCAGGTGTTTTCTCTTAAGTCACCTACCATTATTTCTTTGAAAAGGTTCCAACATTCACTAAGTTCACAGGAAAGGGCATGAGGTTAAGAGTTAGGAAAACGGAAGAGGGGAGAATCTGAGTGTGCTCTAGTGATCTCTGTCATTACTGCAGAACAGCTAGCAAAACCATTATTACATCCAAACACTCAGCCATGATATTACCACCTACGAGAATTTCAAATGAATAATTGCCCGTGACGTCGGTCCAAAGGGCAAAATTCAATAAAAATCCCAAGATGACATCAGAGACCAAGAGTAATAGACCTTCTACATTTCTGCAAAGAAATTCTTTTGCCTTGTAGTTCCAAAATAGCTTGAGGGGACCTCAAACCTGAGAAAGACATGGATTTATGTTCGTAGGAAATATGTAAAACAAATAGTTTTGTCATTGGCCTTCCAGCTGATTAAAAAATTATAACCAACACAAAGAGGCTCCCCCTTCTTGGGAACTTTTCTGTCCCTGACAGTACATCCAAACCAGGGTGGAGGGAAGCAACACACTAATTTTTTGTTTTTTTTGCCCAAGGATAAAAACCGAGTCTGAGGTTCCTTTCCAAAATTATGCTCTGCATTTGGGTTTTTCTCCTGGGGATATGAATGGGTTTATGATATTCTATTTGTACTCTGGCCAAGACAAGGGGTATCTCCCCTGACTCAAAGCTCCCCATACCCTTGACCTTATTAGCAAAATTATCAAATTATCTGAGCTACCCAAGAGCAGCCTTCTCAATATCTAGGAAGGAGAGAAGAGGTCAGCACCATAAAGTCAAAGGCAGGGAAGATACTATAATAGCAGGGTAGGCTCTGAAGCAGATGTGGGGTTAAATTCTGGCTCTAGAACTCACGGGCTCTGTGGCCTTGCATAACCCACTCAGCTTCTCAGAGCCAGTTTCCTTACCCATAAAGCAAGATCACTTTCACCTACCTTGAAGGATTGTCACAGTGATTCAAGATAATGACGCAAAGTGCCTGTTATATTATCTGGCACAGAGTATGAATAAATAAAATACACACTTTCATGTACTTTTCCAAAGGTTTATGGGTAGTAGGATATCCCAGGAACATGGTGTGAAATATGAAGCTTTGTGGAAATGTTTAAAATGCCAATAATGTGATTCTTGAACATTTGAGTCTTACCAATCAGACCCGAGTGAAGGGAGACCAATTGCAACTGGAAAAAATAATTATGAAATATTTTAAATGCATGTAATTTTATTAGTCTCATATATGGGGAAAAAATTTCAATGAAACTTGAAAACTTGAGTTGCAGGCATGTTTTGTTTAAAGGACAGACTCCCACTATCTAAGACTCAGTGACTCTCATTTATTAAATAGACTCCATCTATGAAAAAAGATAATACTTGTACCATCAGGCTATTTTATACACTGAATGTGGTGTTTTAAACCATTGTAAGGTATAAATATATCATATAAAAGTAAACAAATTAATTAAAGTTTCAATTATAGATTAACTATATCCTGATAAGGGGACTGAACCTGCTCTGAACAGGCAAAATTTCTGTGTAATTATCAATTTACATGTAGAAAACAGATGGAGGAACCCCGAAAGGGTACATCTCCTTGGCAAACCAAACAAAGCCATTGCTGTCTTACAGCTTGTAGCATGTAAACCTTGATTTCAGAGAAAGTACAAATTATACTGGCCTGAGGCCCAGCCTGTCCAAGTATCACAAATTCCAAATTAATTAGGCCCCACCATCTTTCTGAGAACGCCTCCACCCCCATCCCATAGCTGGCAGGCCTCCATGAATATTCAGATGTCACCTTTTACAGAATAAACACCAGTTATTAATGATCACCTCACCCCTTCCTCCCCACTCATCCTCTCTGGGAGGTGCTAGCCACAGGGATTGGCAAAAGCAGGGGTTCTCCTCTTTGGCTGACTACTGGGGGCGTGATTGAGCCTTTCAGACACTGACGCCTGGCCCAGCTCATTGCCTGGGGTGTGGCCTCCACATTGGGATTTTTTTTTTAGAAAAAGCTCTGCAGGTACAAATGCAAAGATGTGGAAACCACCCAAATGTCCAACAATACATGAGTGGATTAATTAAATGTGATATACGTATACCATGGAATACTAACTCAACTACAAAAAACAATGGTGATCTGCACCTCTTATATTATCCTGGATAGAGATTGAGCCCATCCTTTGAAATGGGGTATCACAAGGATGGGAAAACATTCACCACATGTACCTGCCATCAAACTGGTACTAACTGATCAACACTAAGGTGCTCACATGGTAGTAAAACTCATTAGGTGCCAGTCAGATAGAGGGGTGGGGGGTGGGGGGTAGAGGGGGTGGGGTGGGTAAACCCATCTAATGGAGATGAGGTGCACTGTATGGGGGAAGGACACACTTGTGGCACTGGCTTGAGTGAAGCAAATGCACTTCATGTAACCAAAATGTTTGTACCCCCATAATATCCTGAATTTGAAAAATAAATGAATAATGTCAAAATTCAAGAACGCATTAAAGAAAAAAAGCTCTCAAGGTTAATCTCATGTGCTGCCTCCATTGGGCTAAAGCAATCACAGTGACTGAGGCAACCAAGGGGAGGTCAGACCTGCTGTGGGTAGCAAACCAAGTGCAGAACCAGGACCTTCTCTCCCAGCTCTGGAGCTTTGCAGAGTTGTTGCCAACTCTCACTCGCAGGGTTTGTCCTGGAGGCATCTCCAGCCAGGTACACAGAACCTCTGTCCACCTGGCTGCCAACGCAAGAACCCCAGCTGACGGCTGGACTCCTCCCTCTTCCTTCCCTCCACTATTCAGGCAACCACCAAGTCCCCTCCACTTGCATTCTGAGGTCTCTCTCACTTCTCCCCACTTCTCTGCATCCAGGTAGCCTTTACCTCATTTCAGGCCTCCACAGGTCACAGCCACATGACCTAAACAGCCTCCCTGCCTTCCTCTTGCCCAGTCTGCTCTTGAGGCTGCTGTCTTTGGGCCTCACCACCATGACTCTGTCCAACGAGCTGTCTTGGTAAGGTTGTGCCTGGCATAGGCGTGGACAAGGAATCCAGGGTGACTTGTTTGCTTCCCTGGGTCTAGGCACAGGACAGATGGATGTGCTGTCCAATCTCACAAAGACTGTAACACAGTCTTTTCTCCCCGGCACTGTCCCAGGAATGCCTGACAGACTCAGGGGACCGAGAGATAATCAGAGGCACTTTAGCCAGGCTCCACTCTTGGGAACTTGCTTGCCTGGCCCCTTGGACAGACAGATGATATACTTATGTCACATGGACAAGACAGATGGCCCAAAGAATCTGCAAGAAAACCTCCAAGAGCAATACACAAGTCCCCCAGTGGCAATCCAGCCCCCACTATCAGAGGGGGGTGGTCCACACACTAGTCTGCTCCATGAACATCTAGCTGTCCTGTTTCCCCCTACACAGGGATTTCTATGATCTCATCCTGCTCATTTAGGGCCTGAAGCACCGACACGGGCAGAGCAAAGTTAAAGCTGGAAGGGACGCTGGGGCCAGATGCCTGTTGGCACATCCCAGACTTTATCTTATGTATTGGGGAACCCCCAGAAGGCTTAATTAGAGGATGACCCCATCAGACTATTTCCTGAAGCCTACTCAGCACCCTACGTGGGGGGCAGACTAAAGGGAGCCCAACTGAAACCCAGGATGCCAGTGAAGAAACTGACTTTACCTGTGTACAACAATCACTCACAACATTTCGGCTATATGCCTGCCCTTGTCCTAAGCCAGAAATCTTGAATAACGACCAGCCTTTACCCTCATGAACCCCACAGTCTAACTAGAGGAAAGGGAACTAGAAATGTAAGCAGATGAAGCATAATATTTAATATTACCTGGTAAATGTGGTCATGAAAAAAAGAAATTAGCCATGGGAACACAGAGGAGAATGGCTCTGTCTACTCCAGGAAGCCAAGGAAGACTCTACTGAGGAAGCGACACTAAAGCTGGGTCTTGAAGGATAAGGAGTTTTCCACGGGAGGAACCGCACTGCGGTGGGCGAGGACATCGCAGGCAGGGGAAGCAGCAGGCCCAAGAGCATGCAGTCTTTACTGCTACAGCTCTCAGCTCTGGCAAAAGGTGATGAAGCCTGAGCCCAGGTGCAAGAACAGAGAAGGGACCACAGGAGACACTGGCAGCTCTGCTCGGTGTCTGCACCTCTCAGCCTTTGCTCTGGGACTAGGACACTGTTGCTACTGTGGCTGGCCATTGGTGATAATGCATGTAATATTTATCACCCATCCACTTTAGCTGGAAGGCCAAGCCATGACAGGTGCCTAAAGGAACCACACTGACCCATGGCATGCCACCTCAGGGACAAGAAGCCAGCCCACACCCTGGCCCTTCCAACCCTATCAGCAAGAGTTCCATGCCACCTGTTATGGACATGTGAGTCACTATGAGACACAATTAAAACCTTCTAGTCTAGAACTCTGACTATAAGCAAAAAAAAAGAAAAAAAAAGAAAGAACCTTCTAGTCTGCATGCCTGCTACCCTCCCACATGAAGAGACACAGTATCAGCTTTCTATATCTTTCCTTTATGAAACAATTAAACATCTTTCCCTCTGCAGGTGAGGTGTCTGAGAACAAAGGCCATGCCATGTGACCAAGCTCTGGGAATCGGGCCCCTTGGGGTCCTCCTTCCCAACCCTCAGCTAGTGATAATCCAGGCCTCCAGCTCTCACTCCCCGCTCTTGTCTGCAGGGGACAGGGGTAGGGAGAGATGAACAACCAGGCTTCGCTTGTTCCCATCTTTTGAAATCAAAACCCTCCAGGGTAAAATTGTCAGATGAGATCATTCATATGGTAACAAATGCTCATC